CGAGGCCTGTCTGATTGTCTGGCTGCCTCACTCCGTATTGCCCCCACTCCTTGCTCGAAAATGTCCCGCAGAAGTGTTAACTTGTTTGGCCAGGACTTACAAGTCGTCGTTGATTTCTTTGCTCACCTTTTTCGGAGCCTCGGGGCTTGCAAGCCGAACTCCAATTCAAATTCAGCTGACAAAAGCATAAATCGGTTTCTGGCAACTGACTTAAGCTCACTCACTTTGATGTGCGCATAGAAGACGTAGTATAAAAGCTGTTGTAATTTTCAATTTCTGTCAAAAAGAATCAAGTCGAACGGAGGCGACAGGACACCTTGGAAAAACCACTTAACCGCACTTAATGCCACAAACAATTTTACAATTTCAACTCTCTGTCTGCCGTCTGTGGTTCCCCGTCCGAAAATGCGCCACTTAAGTGCCTCGGTACATGGCTCTTTTTACAGTCATTAAAGTTAATTGTTAACTGAAGAAAATTGTGGAGATGGAGGACAGAACAGGAGCAGCAACTATAAGAAGCACAGGAAAAAAAATGTATTAATAAGTGAAAACATATTGTATGTTTTCAATAGCAATCTTGGCCAGAAAATACAGCTTTTAAGCAACGAAATTATGGAAGGTGTTTCACTACAATATCTTTTAAAGAACTTTAGTAGCTAACAATTTCTTACTGTGTAACCACACCTGCAACGGTTGAGGAGCTGACATTTCTGTGGTGCGCCACCGAAACTGAGCTCTTTAAATCCTTGGAATCCATAAATTGCCACACGCCTCGGCTGCAGAAATTATTTTAATTAATAACAAGTTTTAAGTGCGTTGGATGGAGGAGACGCACACCTTAGTTGAGATGCCCCTCCCCTGATTTTTCCTTCCCCGCCGAACTTCGTGTAATTCAATGCCTTTGCTTTCGTCTCGTTAATATCGTTGTTTTTCCAGGGCGTCTGTCTCGTTTTCGTTCTTTGTCGTTTTTGTTGGTGCGGCAGCGTCTATTAATTAAATTAAAAAGTTCACAGCCATCGCTGTCGCCGGCGAGAGTGGATGCCCCTTCGACTCGCACTTTTCATCAGCTCGCAAACTATGCAAAATTTATAATAAAATTGAGTGCATAGAGGATAATTGGAATCTAGTTTAAAGGAAGATTGCTTTTTGAATGGCCCGGTAATTAAAGGAGGTGCAGACTAGTTTCGAAATGGCTCGATTAAATTACAATCTCCTGCAGTTCTACACTCTATCGCCATGTAAACATCTTTCTTTTGGTCTCGAATATGCAAATCATTTAAACAATTAACCGCCCGTCTGGCCAGCTGATTCAATTGAACCGGGCAGACTGATCAGCCGCGAACCTCTTGCCCCCGAATCCAGTGGTTTAAAGTTTAAACAGTTCATTGGACGCAGTACTTGTTTTTACTCCTGTTTTATATTTTTCCACCCGTTGTTTCCCGCTTTTTATTTTTCCACATTCCGCCCGACAATTATGCATTATTTACAAAAGTTAATTGCCGACGCGCAACAGCATTGTTCGGCGAGGACCACGCCCACTTGGAGGAGGGCAATTAACAACATTATTGACTCTGTTCGCCGGCGAATTGGGAAAGTGGGTGAGGGGGAGGAGGACCCACGAGCGGCACTTTGAAATGCTAATGAAATTGCCTTTTAAAGCAGTAGCTGAAAGTAGCACTGAGAGCTGAAAAACGGAGCACAGAAGCACAGAAGTTGAAATGTCCTAGGGCCCTCCTGATTTTCCTTTTTTGCTTAATTGATAAATTGATTAAATTGCAAAGGCCTTAATTGCATGACCACATCAGTCACACAGAGTGCAATCTCTCGAAATTTAACATTTAATTTGACTCGGCAAATTGCAACGCCGTTTCCCATTGTTCCGCCAAGGAAGCTTCGTTAATGCGATGTATTTTGTCAGCATTTGAAGTGTCACATCAGCTCTGGCTCTGGGTTTCCCAGGATTCAATTGGATTTGGCTTTGTCTGCTCGCTTGGGTTGCGGCGGCCAATTTGAAGGATAAATTACTGATTTCGTCTATTGTCTGCGTTGCCTGCGTTAGTTACTGTTGGCCAAAGGAGGTTTGGTTTGAGTGGGGTTTAATCCTGAAAAAGCGAATTTGTAGCCACACAGTAAAAAAATAGAATGACGGTAATCAAATTGAAACAAAGCTCCAAAGGTTTAGGTTTATTGTTGAGAGTTTCGTTACTCCTTCTTGTTTTTACCACATTTTTGCATGTGTAAACTTCCTTTATCCTGCTCATAGTACAAAAACTTATCGCATAAAATTCCAGGAAACGGCCAGCCTTAACCATTTGATTACCCATTGGCTCGTCATAATCATCGGACGTTTGCCCCGATCCGGTTTTTATGGCTATCTAAGGTTGCCAATCCCTTGCCAGCTCAACACTTTCTCAGTTTTGGAAGTTTTCGGGGCTTTTTGGGTTTTAGTACCCGTTAAGTCCTTCGGGAAAGGAGTGCAAACGAATTCCTTGTGCCCGAGGCGTAATAGGTTTCGATTCGCCCCCGCTTTCCAACCATATATCTCCCGTCGTCCTGACATGTTCCTCCGCTCCATCTCCAGATCCTTGCAAATTTATTGCATTTACTCGATGAAGTTTTCCGCACTTTTTCCTCGTTCTGCTGGCCTTTTCCTTTTGTGGTTTTGCCTTGATTTAATTTGGCCGCTGCTGTTGTCTCTATCTCCGTCTCTATCCTTCGGGTTCGTTATGTCTCTTTCTTCTGGGTTCCCTGCAATTTGCGGACTTTGTCCAATTGGCTTTTCTGGTGTCCTGCCGAAGTCCGAGCTCCGTGTTCTCGCCTTGTCCTGTCACTCATGCGTCAGCGGAATTTGTTTGGGTGTTGGCGTTTTAAATCGCCAGGCTTCCCTAAAGCGAAGAGAACTTTTAAAGTATTCCGATTTTCCTGGCAGAGCTGCCAAAAGTTGCCCGCCACATAATGCTTATTTCCCATTTTGGCTACGCGATCCAACCGAAATGTGTGTGGCTCTCAAATTGGGGGAAGAACATAACCGGAGTTGATGTAATGCTGTGTGGCATCTCTGGTTTTGCGGTCGGATTGCATAATGTGCATACAGCCAGGGCCAAAATAGTAGCACCGAATATGAACTTCAACACAAATTAAGGTTATCGATTTCAAAGAACTTGAACGGAAGATAACTTTTGCAGCCAAGCTATTATATTAAATTATAAGCAGCGTAAATTCGTAGTTCTAATATTCGAAACTCAGCTGTAAGTTCGCCCGCCTGTCAAAAAATCAGCCAACTCCCTTTTGGCTTGTACTTTATGCTGAACATATTTTATTGATTACATTCCCAGCTCCAGCTTCTCCCAACTCCAGCCACTTTCCGGCGTGTTTTGGCACAACTTTATGGGATTTCTTTCCCCAGACTGCTGAGATATGATTTTGGGGCATTTCGCATTGCATTTTGGACACCAGACCCACTCCTCCGTCGACTTTGCAAATAAATTGCTTATTTGTAGCGACGATTTGCGGTAATTTGTGATTTGTGGTGGGTGACATCATTCTTCTGGACGAGGGTGGAACTTATGTTTCGGTCTCCCTTGGGTTGCATATTTGCCCTTGCTATTAATTAAACATATTTGATGCCCTGAATCGCAGCTTAAGACTCTCCATAATGTATTTTGTCTGCTGCCAGATGATGAACATTAGTGGGAGCACAAGAAATGGCCAAAATTCAGAAGAATTTGATTAGAAACCCGAGCTTTTTCTGCTGCTCATTCTTTGGCTTCTGCCTGCTCACTCCGCTTGATTAGAATTTATTGACTTTTTCCAGGGAAATCCTCTGGATTTCCTCTCCATCTCCCTTCTGGCGACTTGCCACGCCCACTTGTATGCATATCGTTAGCAAATTGCAGGCTCACCAGGACCCCCGAAAAAAGGATTTGCATGTGAGTCGCGGCGGTAAGCTGATATCCAACCAATTTCCGTTTGACTCGCTTCGCGTGTTCCTCTTTTTTTTCTTTTTTTTTCGACGGGATACTACGGACCAGGTAAACTTGGCCAACATGGCCCTGCTGGTTTCGCCTTTTGTGTTTCCGTTTTGGAAATTGGAAGGCGCAGCGAGCTCTCTCCAGCACCGCCTCTCCAGTGTCCTTCGTGATTTTACCCGTTTTGTGTCCTTTTTTCGGCGCTGCCATATAAATTTGTACAAAAGCTTAGGCAATTTTTTCGCCTTTTGTTTGCCGTGGCCTCCCCGTCGTCGAATCATTTGCATATTCGGCACATTCAAAGTACCCACGATATTTGCCTGAACACCCTCTAAAAACCCCTGACCATTCTCTACCCTCATTCTCCTCTTTATGAGCTGTGACTATCAATGGTTTGGCTTAAACCCCGTTTAAAGGGAACGCAAATTAGTAGAAGGAGTGGGAATATCATAATTTCCCATCAAATTACTTAAATGGTATAAGGGAAATATCGTTATTCATATTTTTTTTACGAGGAAGTTGCATTCGCTTAAGTTTCTTTTGTGAATCTACCTATTCTTTTACTAAACGTGCACCCAAGGCATCCACTGTGGAAAGTTAATTTAGAAAATTTGTCGTTTGGGTTTTAAGTTGATTGGAAGAAAATGTAAACATTTGCCGGAGAATGTCAGATTCAGGGCAAGGAGTCAGGACCACAATCCTGTGGCTTCACAGCCACAAAACCGCAAAGAGCTTGGCATATTGACCCGAAAAAAGGGAGGCTGTCCGATAGGCGTTGATTGGCATCCCGAGAACCGACCCCCCAACCACTTCACCTCTTCATACTTGGCTGTCAAGGCTAATGGCCTGAAGGGGGAAAAGCTGAAAAGTGAAGTTGGGAGGGTCCGAAACTGAAGTGGCTTGCCTGCCACTCCAGCGTTTATGGATATTGACATCTCAATGGCCTGTAATTTAATTAGGGCACCGCTTCCCGGGAGAGAACCTGGAGAGAGCTCGAACTAAACTGCGGCTTCCTTTGTTCCTGTCTTGCAGCAATCTCCCGCGAAGACGGCGAGGACTCGACGCACCACCATCACCACCACCACCACCACCGCGGCGGACACGGCGGGCACCACAACCACGGTAACAAAGTTCCATACAACGGCTACAATTCGGAGGAATACTTGGACCGCCTCGAACCGAATGGCAATATACCCGCTGACAAGACAAATTGCAGATATGGAGGTGAGTTATGCAAACTAAATATTATATATTATGCTTGCTTAGATAATGTAATATAAAATTACCTACTAACAATATGCAGTTTCTGTACAATAAGTCTAGTTTGTTTTTTCAGTAAGGGCATTCGTCTATTAGCTGTAAGAAACTTGCCAAAACTGAAGCCTCGAATGGCCTCATTCTAAGGCTTTGCCTAATTTATCGCCCGCTTGTGTAATAATCTCTCATTTAAGCTGCCCTCCTCCACCGAAACTAATTTAATGATAAGATGCCAGGCCTCAACCTCCGATTCCGCCCAGACTGACTGGCAATAATTTATGCCTCCATCTTGTGTGAGCGGCGTGTCTAATTATGGAAGCGAGTTCCATTTTCTCGGCTTTTCCTAATTCCCTTGGTGCAACGGGCGAATTCCCTAACATATTTCCCTTGACAGAGAAAAAATTAATACAAAAAGTATTCGCTGTATTTAATGTTATAAAGAAGCTCTACAAAATGTGGCTGAATTTTTCTCTGTGCACCGCAGCCTCTTTGCAATTTATCAAATTTTTGTCTCATTTAGCTAATGCAAACAAGTTCTTTCTGTTCCATTTCGCCTTTCGCCTTGCAGCTTATCTGAGCAAAAACTTCCGCGATAAGCGTGGCGCCCTGTCATCATTTTCCTTGCGACTGTTTTTCTCATAATTGTAAATTGCAATTTTATGCAAACAATGGCAGTTTTTCCTGGGTGCGGAGGGAAACGGCGAGGTGGCCGAGACCCGTTGACATTGCCGATAAGCCCGTGAATGTAATGGCTTCATTTGTTGCTCGTACTTGAAGCTGTTGCTCCTTGTTATTGTCCTTGTAAGCGGGCCACTCAACTCGAACCCGAACTCCAATGTACTCCCCCTTAATGCCGCCTTGTGTACTCGTGTATATCCATTGTCTTACCGATGTCTAGGCTCTAGGCCTTTCGGAATCGGGCCATAAAACAACGGAAATGGAAATATTAACAAGCAACTGCACAGCAACAAGGGAATTATTCATAACCAAATGGAAATTGTGCATGCTCCATATATCTTTCCCGGGCTTTAAACCCATTATTGTCTCGCAGCCATGGAGGAGCACTTACCACTCTCCGACTTTCCTCCAAGTAGCGTCGTCTGACATTGAATTCCATTGGTGTGCAAACTATTCCTATGAAAGGGAAATGCATTTTGTGTTTACAATATGTCACGACACGAATTCTTTTAGTTTCAAGGTTTTTACTAAGTTTGCAAATAATTCTATCAGCATTTAAAGTGGGATGCTGTGTAAAGTAGAAGCGTGACTGTCAATACTTATTAGGTATTTTGTTCTAGCCCTTTAAAGTTAAACAAGTTCAAGTCGGGAGATGTCCAAACATTTTGTCGTAATTCACAGAACTATCGATGCAAACTTTTTAATTCCCTTATCTATCGGAATCAATTCTGCAAAAGTTTTTTTTTGAGCCACCCTCGACCCACGCAATCATAAAGTTATATAACGCACAATAAATTACAGAGTTGTGAAAGCCAGCAGAGAAAATTCAACACAGTTAGCACAGCACAACCCCGCTGCCCCCGCAATTTCCCAGCCCCTTCCCCCACCTTTCCCATCAGCAAAAAGCAATTTCAGTTTTTCATGCTGTTCCCGTTTTTGTTGTTGTTTTGATTACATGATTTATAAGTTATCTTCAGCAAAACAACAACGCTGTTTGCCATTAGAGAAGGGGAAGCGGAGGATATGAACAATTTATGCTCGGCGCTTTCGCAAAAGATTATTGTTTATATGCGCAAATTATGCGAACATAGCTGTGTAAAATTGCGAAAAACATATTGGCCACAAGGACTCGCATAAAACTTTTTAAAACCACCCCGATAAAGATGGCAAAGCGTGTTTTACAATTATGCGTGAAGCATAAATTCGAGGAATGAATTTAATTTGCAGGGGAACAAGGCCTGAAAGACATTGAATTCGGCGATAAAGTGTGCTAAGGTTTTTCTCTGGGCTTCCCTTAAAGCCAGGTCATTCCACCTGTAAGCTACTTTTATAGGGTGAAAGAAGAAGGTCCTTGTATAAACTCTACTCAACTTGCGCATAAATCCTTTTAACGCTTTATTTGGCTTCTGACGCGTTTCTTTTTTTCCTTTTTTTTGCCATCCTTTCTTGTTTGAGCTTTTGTTTATTTTTATTTTGTACTTTGACTCGCAGGATCCTGTGCGTTTGTTTGTTTTTAATGCCGCTTCCTTGGGTCCTCTTCCTGCTCCCTTTTTAGCCACCCTTTTCACTGTCTGTGATTTAAATTTATTGGCAAAATACTTAAAGTAAATCTTTTTGTTTCACTTTGTTTTGTGAACGTGTCTTGTGGGGGTGGTGTTTCTCCTTTTTTTTTAACAACCCTTTGACAATTTTCGGCGTGCTTTTTATACCTTCCACGTCTATTAAGGCGCTTTCCTGCGGTTCATTTTAAAATTCTAACTGGCAGCCGCAACCGGAATCTCTGCACAGAATTCACCCGACGCCTTGCGGTTTCGGCAGCGTCTTTCTTGTGGCTTCCAGAAGGCCACCCCACTACCCACCACCACCCACTCACCCCTTTTGGGGTCACCACCCCTTCCTCGCTGTCAGAATCGTTGCAGTTTATTAACGTCGCCTTCGCTGACTTGTTTTTTCCGCCGCATTTGGAAACCATTCTGTGTTTTAATGATTTAGTTTTTTTTTGGGTGGAAAATTCTTTGCTTTTCCTTTGGTCTCTCCTTTTTGTTTGATGTCATTCTGCGTGAGACAATTTTTTGGTGGTTTTCGGTCGTTTTTTGGCTGGGCTAATGAAGCGACTTATGCAATGACATGGAAAATTTGCGGTCCGCATATTTCTCTCCGTTTGATTTTCTCTTCCCTTTTTTCGAGTGTTTTTCCGGCAACTACACCGCATTTGCATGACGTCTGAAGCTGGAAAAGCTGGAAAAAATGGGGTAACTCGAAGGGAGTGTGAGCTTATCAAAAGGCCAAAGGCTTTTTTAAGCTTTGATAAATGAAAAGTTTGCTAATTGGCTTGTTTAAAAGAGATGCCACAGTGGGTAACTGTGGCAAATGCACACAAATAACAACTCTTTCACTCGCAAACTCAATTCATTAGGAGAGGGGTGTCAACATGGTTTCTATGATTAAATTTGGGATGAACATAAATATGATAAGGAAATAAAAATAGTTATTCATGAATTATGTATACTTTTTTTTCCTAGCTTGGCACTCTTAAATGTTGCTCATGTTTCTTTTTAGCGCACACCCCTTCACTAATGCAATCAATTTTCTTTGAAACTTTGTCTGCCCAACTAAGCAAAGTGAAAGCTTTATAATAATCCAAACCCGAGCCACTCCCCTCCAACTTTCGGCTCACCACTGGCAATTTTTCCATTGTCCTTCTCCTTCGTAAAAAAACCCCGCTTCCCGTTTTCCGTTTGTATGACGAAAAAGAAAATTGTCCAGAAAATGTCTTTTGACAATTCGCCGCTCCATGCATACTAAGCTCATTATGGCCAACTTGAGGCACAGTGGACATCCTTTTTCCCCCCGCCCCGCCTTTATTACTCCTTAACCGACGGGCGGGTCCTGAAAATGTGCTGGGAAACTTTTTAATAGTGGAGCCCGGCCATGAGCATCGCCCCCGTGGTTTGATGAGCGCTTCTATTTTATTGCATCTCGCTGCGGCCAACAATGCCCATGGGCAGTGCCACGCCCCCAAGTCCAAGGAGGACCAAGAAAGTGGCACAATATTAAAATTCTCGCTTGTCATTATAAATTCCTTGGCAGACACCGCTCGATATAATAAAAATAATAATGGGCCAGCGAACAACAAAAAATGGACAGGACAGCCTTAAAAGGTTTTACTTCTTCCACTTGTTAATAGCCTTGATAGAAGGAGGATAATACGAATATTGTATCTCTGAATGGGATCACGAGAAGTAGGATAACTTGAGGGCATTTTGGTTGCAATCAGCGCACATTTCGACTGACAGCTGAAGGATCCACAGCGTCATCGAAGGACCTCGGGTCTCGAACCCCGAAACCCGAGCCCCAAAAACGGAATTAGATTCATATTATGACAAAGTGGTTGGCTGGCGGGGGAGGGATGCTCTGGGGGTCGCCCTTTGCCTTCGGTGGTGGCAATTGTAACTAAAGGCTGTCCTGTCTGCGTGTGCCAACTGATATCCTTGAAACACATTCAGGAGGCAAAGGTGTGCGTGAATTATAAGCAACTTGCAAATGTGGTTGTCCACACAGACCCGCCTACAAAGCTGGCATTGCCATACATTTGGGTATTGGGCCGCTGGGAAAAGCCGGCCGACACTCCACTTCTATTTTCCAGCAGTGAGAGAAAATTATGGAGCAATAGAAACTTGAAAATATATCTTAAATAGATAGTGTACAATGGATTAAACTCTTAAGCAAATTAAGGAACAATTGTTAAAATAATTCTTTAATTAGTTTCAATTTAGTTCAATAAAATAATATAATTATAATGATCTTCCAACATTTATAAAGCATTTAATTATTTCAAAAATATTAGAAATATATAAAAAATTAAATGCCTAAGAAATACTTTCTTCTTCCCAGCAGTATTCTATTGTATGTTCAGATTTCTAATAACTCCACTTGATAACAAATTCTGTCAGTATATCCTGCTGGTCTTTGGGCTTAGCCATTCCCCTCCTTTTGCTCCTGGCTCGTCATATGCGTGTCCTGGCCTCCGGAACAGATAACGTCCGTTATGTGTGTTGGCTGTGACAGCCTTGGGGCATCGCCAAGCCCCAGACCAAACCGAAACCCCAACCGAATCCCAATCCCGTAGTCATATAGTCACGGGTATAGCCATCGCCATCGCCGGGCCTTATCCCCACTGGTTTACCTATGGCCTACGCATTTCATTTGGTCAGCCGGCGTTTCCGTTTCCTTCCTGCCACGCAGACTACTTCAAATTTTGATTGTCATTTGCGAGAGTGACTGTGTGC